CCAAGTATAATATATAATATTCAAGATTGGGACTTTCTTGAATATTATATATTATATTTATTATATAGTAGAACTTGGGCATAAACTCCCTTTTAAAATAATATAGAATATATATATATATCTCTCAAATGGAAAAGTCTCAATCAAGGAAGCAACATATATCATTTACAAATGACTTAAAAAGCATTAAAAATTACAATAATTACCAATTTAAAATATTTAAAAGCTATATAATAAAATAGGTTGACTCTCAGAATTCTGTCAGTCTCACATATATTGGGACAGAAGAAATGAAACATATTATTTTTAAATTACCAAAAAAGTATTATAAATAATAATAATTAACAACTTAAAATATCTGAAAGACATTTTAAAAGGGTTAATTTTGTAATTTTATCCATATCACATAAATTAGGACAAAGTGACCAGTAATGTACATTATTTCAAAGTTACATAAAAATATTATAAATCACAATAATTAATAACTTAAAACATTCTTTTTTTTAAAATTAAAATTTGGATGACTCTCCAAATTTCATTTGTGTCACATAAATTGAGACAACAAAAATAACATATATTGGGTCCATTTTAATTTATTTGTCTCTTTTTTTAGTTTTTTTTTTATATTTAAAAATTGCGTAAAAATACTATAAATCATGATAATTGACAACATAAAATATATTTTGAAAAATATACAAAATATTCCACTGATTCTTGAAGTGAATCTATCGTAAAAATACTATAAATCATGATAATTGACAACATAAAATATATTTTGAAAAATATACAAAATATTCCACTGATTCTTGAAGTGAATCTATCGTAAAAATACTATAAATCATGATAATTGACAACATAAAATATTTCAAAAATGTTGTATGTGGGTAGTCTTATTATGCCTTAAATAGCGTCAAAGAAAGTACAGGTTTGTGATAAAAAAACTTATTCATTTATCCACGCAAACAATCGCTTCAAAAACTCCGTTATTAGCCCCAAAACATACCATTTATATTATTGGGCCCGTGCATTATCTAGTAGTTTTATAAAGATTTGAGATAGGCTTCATCTTATATGTGTATTTTAACGTTCCCCTTTGTTTTTTATCATCTTTAGAAATTTCATAAAATTAAACATTTTTAATTCGAATCTTGATGTTGTTATTAATATTTAGTTTTATATTTTCTTGCGCAAAGAAAATCAAACTATTAGGGAGCGTATAAATTATATTTAGATAAGTTATATTGGAATTAACTATGATTTATGAACCTCCTACCTCCACGCTATCCAATCTTCACATTTATTTTCCAACCAAATTGGCGTAGCTTTCAGCAAACCTATTGTCATTGATTGTTGGTAGACCAAATTGAATATATACACTTTTACGTGGCTATATTATTAAATGTTCACTATTACTTTCACTTGATTTATTTGGTTTTATGCCAAACCTATGAAAATATCTATCTACTTTTTTTTTTCTCAGATTATTGATTATAGTAGATAGAGACATGGTTTTTTTTTCCCACGTGGTGTCCGATACTCAATTAAAGTGCGACTAAATTCAGATTTATGTCGAAAAGTCCCACAGGGGTAAATCATTCGCTAACAAAGGGGCAACTCCGTACCCAAGAGGATTCGAACGCGAAACCTCTTGATTAAGGATGAAGGAGTACTTACCACTCTACCACAACCCTTGTTAAGTAGATAAAGACATGTTATCGTCAAAGGTTATGGTGGAGATTAATTAGAATTAGTTTTGGATTAGAGTTCCGGTATGAAATTGTCTTAGTGAAGGCTTCATCCTAAAATGAAAATTTTCAATGAATTGAAATAACTCGAATTTCAAAATAAATATCGAACATCGATTACGAAAAAAAAAGAAACAAACGTAATTAAAAATATATCACACTTTGTTGCCATGATGTATATAGTTTCAAATATTATAATATCATATTTTCTACTAAGAAAATATTACAACCCTATCCTATTTCAATAGTATTTTGCTAGATTACGCATAAATATTCTTGTGATAATATATTTTACTTATTTATCAATAGTAGCGGAGGCAGAACTTTCACTAAAAAAGTTCAAGATATAAAAAGTTTAAAATTAAAGAGGTTCAACATCTATTATAATTTATATACACATAAAAAATATTTTTAACCATGGATAAATAGTATAATTTTCTGTTGAAGGGGATTCAAATGGACCCCTTGAACCCTTACTAACCCCGCCCCTACTTACGAAACAGTAGAAAATTTTTAGGAAGACATTTTATGTTTCAAACCAAACACACCCTATACAACAAAAAACATTGAAATTGAACACAAGTTAAAAAGACCCATGAAGTATAGTTTTCCCACAGAAATTTCATGAGCACAATATCAACGCAAACAAGGCATGAAATCATGAAGAGTTTGGAAGTTATTCCATCCAACTTATTTTATTCCGCATATCAAATAACCCCTTTAAGTCTAAAATGAGTGAAAAAATGTATAAGATAACAACACAATCACATCAAATTAATCGTTACACAAAATAAAAATTTAACTATATGATACAATAAAAATTAAAATAACATTATATTTAAACTAGCAACAGAAACGATTCATCACTTATGTAACACTAACATAACATGCATTTGTAGGTGCATTCTTAACCAAAAAACCACCAGCAAATTTTTGGTGGGAAAACAATACAATCACAAGAAGCGGCGTCGTTTCAACTGATGGATTCCCAAGCTGAACGTCGTTTTCGAACTATTCACAACCAACTCACTTCCACCGCCGCCGGCGATCAGGATCAACCGTCACTTCTCCGCCGTAGAAATGCCGCCGGCAAATTCTTCTCCGGTATTCTTTCCCACCCACTTTTTTAAAATGAGAATGCAGCTATATATTCATTCGTTTTATACTCTGTTTTTATGTTAGAAAATCTCTGTTTTGTTATTGTTGCTCTATGTAAAAATAGGTTTTTTTTTTTCCAGTGCTTAGGGAAAGGTTATGATATATCCTCGTTGTAAAAGTAGCTAACATATATTTCTTCTATCGTTACACAAATGATGCATATATACCTTTTGTCTAACAGAAGAGAAAAAATACTTTTAAAATTTATATTTTGATTCTTCTAGCAAAGTTGAGGGGTATATTTGATTCCTTTCATGGGTGACTTTTTCTGACTTCTTGATTCAACGGCTAATTTTGATGATCAATTTTTCTCACTCATTCTTGTAAATTTATCATAAATACTTCATTTTTTGTTATGAAGATACGAAAAAATAAATAACGATATAACCGCACAAACACTAGATTTGAAGTTTTCTTACTTTTTTCCATTCATATTTCTTTTTTTTATTTCTTAATATTTTCACACACTAAAGAATGAAAATAGATTTATAAGCGAGATAGTAAAACTCAAATTAGCCGTCGAATAAAAAAGGTAAAAAAAGTTCACCTGAAAATATAAGTGAACATATCCCTGAATTTTGCTAGAAGGATCAAATATATTTCTACATGGATATGAATTTTTCTAAAGAAAAAATCAATTTCAAAATATTTTTTCTACTTCTGTTAAACAGAAATGGTATATCTGATCTCAACTGAAAAGAGAAGAAAAAGAACAAGTCTCATAGTTCTTCAGGTGCACCTATTTTCTCTTGTGTGACTAAACTGACTATAAATGTGGCAAAAAATAAAACAAGCTAAATCTCCGGATATGCTGTAATATCAAATTAATCATCAAAAAGATTTGGATACAACAAAAATAATGCAATCTTTAGTTGAGATTGACATACACATACTCTTACACTCCATGTTTAGCATGTGTTGTATCCGCGTTTAAAACTGAGATCCAACATAAACAGACATCTTTGATTCATCGACATTGACAATATCTTGGTCTGATCTCCATTTTACTTATTGGCAGCATGTTAGTTTCAGCTTATTACTTGGTGATCAAACTAACTTGTTTTCGGTTTGTTTGCTAATTATTGAACTCTCACTAGAGCAAGGATTTAGTAATGCGCTCCCTGAGGAACTGAAGACAGGAAAATGGAATGTGTACAGGTTAAAACAGTTAGTTCAAACTCTTCTATGTATTCTAAGGCACAACTGAGCTTTAATTCTTTTAAATGCAGATCTTCTCGCTCTCCATTGAAGCTTGTTAGTAGATTTGCAGATCATCCTGATATTGGTACCTTACATGACAATTTTGTGTGAGCAACCAATCTTGCCTGATCGACTCCCCATTTTCTAATAACTTTCAAAGAAAATTCACCACAATTTGAATTGTTCTTTTAATCTTTTTTTTTGGTTTTGATTTGTTTGTCTGGTTAGGCGCTCGGTTAAGGCGTCTCCAGACTGCAAATACTTAGGATCACGAGTTCGAGAAGATGGAACAGTAGGAGAGTATGTTAACCACCTTAAGCCTGTAATTTATCTTGAAGCCATACTCATCCAATGTAACATACTCTACAGGTACAAATGGATGACATACGGGGAGGCAGGTACTGCACGGTCAGCAATTGGTTCGGCACTAGTTTGTCATAAGATAACAAAGGTAACTTACTTTATCAGCATTTTAAATCATTTTGGAAGGCTTTCAGTTCTCTTTCTTAATTTCCTTGTTCAGTTTTAGGAAAAATTGAAGTAGATATTTTCTGTTTATATACTGATTATTTTGTTTCTTTCGCTTCTTGACAGGGATCTTGTGTTGGTTTGTATTTCATCAACCGACCAGAATGGCTGATAGTCGACCATGCCTGCTCTGCATATTCATATATTTCTGTTCCTTTATATGATTCTCTTGGTTGGTTTTCAGACATTATCGGGATAAAAGTCATTTAAGATCTTACCAACATTGCTAAAACTCCTAAGCAATAAAATTTGTAGGTCCAGAAGCTGTAAAATATATTGCAAACCATGCAGCAATTGAAGCTATATTTTGTGTGCCAGAAACAATAAATCATGTGAGTTTACTTTCAAGTTCTATTGAAATGACATGGGAGTGGAAGAAGAAAGCAGTTTCAATTATAGGCTTTAGAGAATTTTTGAGGTTAATTGTTCTTTTGCAGATAGAATATTGGAACACAATTTTTTTACTTGCTACAATTGTGGCATTTGGATTGAGAACCTGATGTTTCGGATCTACTTTCTACTGGCCATATTTTGTATATGTTCTTCCTGACCATTTAAAAGAGCCTAACTTCCCAACTTCATAGGTGGATTATATATTTTTAAAGAACTTTTAAAAACATCAACACTCTGGAATTTGGCTAGCATTACGCGGGGAAATAGAAAGAGATGTACTCGATAGATCATCTTTCTCTTCTCTACATTGCGTTCCTTGAAGTCACTGTTGAGGTTTTTATTTATGGCATTACTCTTCAAATTGCAGTTGCTTCGGTTCTTATCGGAGATTCCTTCACTGCATTTAATTGTGGTATGCAACACCGTCCCTTTATGGTGCATAACTATGATGTTGCCGATCTGCAGTTCATTTGACCTCATCTGGCTTGGGTATGGTGTAGGTAGTTGGAGCAGTAGATGGGAGAATTCCGTCACTTCCACCGTCATCTGGAGTGGAGATCATATCATATTCAAAACTACTTAGTCAGGTACATATACTCAAAGTTGTATTTTCATGGTATGAGCAGTTTTAGATTTTGTGCCGAGTAGGAATGAGAAGATGCACAGATGTGAACTTAGTATGCATGGTAGCTTTGTGCTGCATATGATCTTTCACATATCTCATTTAATGACATGGGTGGAGTTGCAAGATAAATATCCATAGGTGTAATTTCACTAGCAGCACTACTGTATTTGTACTTCACTACTTGATTGTTGAGGTTTCATAGTATTAGTGAATATTTTTCTTTCAGGGTCTCAGCAATCTTCAGCCCTTTTGCCCACCAAAACCTGAGGCTGTTGCTACGATATGCTATACGAGTGGTACTACTGGGACCCCAAAGGTACAGAAGATTATTATCTACTCAATTCTAAATGCTATTGCTTTTCAGAACTGAAGCAAATTGCATTTCTTTTACCAAAACTAATAGGGTGCTGTTTTGACCCATGCAAACCTGATTGCAAATGTTGCTGGTATGAGTATCGGCATCACACTGTACTCTTCAGATATGTGAGTACTAATTATTATAATACCAACCAAAAATCATCATGAATCGCCTTTTTATTAAAAAAAGTTCAGGAGTTAAACATCTCTTACATTCAGTTGAAACTTTCTATAGATTTTTCTGAAACTTTTATCTGAATATTAATAGTTACATCTCATATCTTCCGCTGGCACATATATATGAGAGGGCTATCCAAGTATTGCTGGTCTATTTTGGAGGAGCTTCTGGATTCTATCAGGGAGTATGCGACTTAAACTAGAATGCTTTCTGAATTTTCTTGTAGCAGTCATTTCATGAACCGTATTTGTCAAGTCTATGGATTATTCTAGCTCGGATGCATCCACAACTGTATATTATTCTTGTTGCTTAATATTTTCGACATGAATTTGTTCAAAAAATGGCTTGCTTGAAATCATGAAATACAACTAATACAACCATAGGAAGATATCACTGTGCAAGAGATTAACTTGTAAATCAACATTTAAGGGCAATGCCACAAAATTTAGTTGATGGAGGGAAAATGTTCACCTTCTAAGGTCAGGAGGTTTTGTTTGTTGCCAAATGACGATTAGGAGATATTATTTGGGAAAAAATTTGGAAGTTTTCAGAACTAATTGTCTACAATATTCTAAGCAATCTCTCCACATTTCTCTAAGGAAATACTGTGTTTAACTTTACTCTCCATTCAGGATAATCTGAAACTAGTGGATGATATAGCTGTATTAAGGCCCACTGTCTTTTGCAGCGTCCCTCGGTTATACAATAGATTATATGCCGGGTAATTGACTGGTGTTGATGCTGATTTGCTATTTGTGCTAATTTTAATTTTATGTGATCCTCAATTAACTTAGATGCTTCTTTTTGCAGCATTATGAATGCTGTGAAGACATCTGGCTCACTGAGAGAGAGGATATTTAATTCTGCTTATAATGCTAAGAAGCAAACAATTTTTGATGGTGAGGTATTTTTACCTCTATTGAGAAATAGATGGCTGCACCTGCACATCTTAGACCTCTATTTATATTGTTTGCATCATCTAATGTTTCTTTAGGATTTAAGATTGTTCCCATAGAGGTCTATTAGTATGGAGATGGGCGCATTTGTAGTTATGGTAAATAGAGGTCCAAGATGCGTAGCATGTTGAAAATTATGATTGCACAGAAGTGATAAGTCAGTGGACTCATGTTAAACCACTTGTAGTTTGACATAACCACAACGTTCTAGAAATGAAATAGTATGATCTAGGCAGCTTGTACTGAATGCTTCAGTCCTCAATTATACCAGTGAGATAATTCGTTTTTAATTAAAATGCTGCTTGATAGGTTTTGTTTTGGTTCTGATGTGTTATTCTATACAAACTAGCCCCTTTAGTACTTAGTTGATTTTGTGAGCAAATGTATCAAGTTCTTTGATATGGACGCTTGGCGTCTCCTCAACTGTAAATTCATTTCTCTCTGCTCGGTAAGATGGGAAAGGGGAACAAACAACAACAACTACACCTCAGTCCCAAACAAGTTGAGGTCGGCAATATGAATCCCCACTTTCATTTAAACTCATTTCACATCATCACCATACTAAATATAACAAAAATGAAAAACAACGGAACAAAAGGAAAGGACCATAACAGAATAGTGAGAAAGAATCAAACTCCTGAGGCTTTTTGTATGGACAGGGAAGCCACTCAAGGGGATCAAATGGTGGCCTCTCGTTGGAAAACTTTGCTGTAAACTGAAGACTCACTTGTGACTATTTTAAGAAAAGGGAAACTTAGAAAGTAAAGTACTTTAATGGACAGGAAAGCTGTTTTCTGTTCCTGAAATACTGCTCATTTGGTGGTATTCAGGTCTTTGTTTATGAGGTTGGGAATGGCGCGTGGCTTATATTTTCCTTAACTAGCTCGCAAAATAACAATTTATGCTTTCATGTTAGGGTGCGTTTTAGTTGGATTGCGGCTTTGGTGCATTTCTAATAGTATTGACCTTCCAAACAGCTCTGTAGGATTGACCTATGAAGAGAACGGAGACACATGATCTCTTTTTGCTGTGATATATTGTAGATTCATATTTACTTTTCCAGGAAAGAATCCATCCCCAATCTGGGATAGATTGGTATTCAACAAAATAAAAGCAAGGCTAGGAGGAAGAGTTCGCTTGATGGTCTCAGGAGCTTCACCATTATCTCCTGATGTTATGGACTTTTTGCGGATGTGAGTTGAACAAACTTCATTAAGTTTCATCAATTATGATCAATTTATGAACATAACTGAGATCAGATACTTCGATTTGTGTGAAATGAGTTGAGTAGTTTTATTGTTCAGATGCTTTGGTTGTCAAGTTATAGAAGGATATGGAATGACCGAAGCTTCTTGTCTTATAAGTAACATGGATCAGAGTGATATCTTATCTGGTCATGTGGGCTCTCCTAATCCTGCATGTGGTTAGTACGACTCCAAGCAAGTTCTTTTTTTCATTTGTCTTATGACTGGACAAGGACTAATTATGTTTTCATGTTTTAGAAATAAAGCTTGTTGATGTCCCTGATATGAACTATTCATCTGAAGATCAGCCTTATCCCCGTGGCGAGATTTGTGTAAGAGGCCCCATAGTGTTCCAGGGATACTACAAGGATGAAGTACAGACGTAAGGGCATTTCTTTAAGTTACTCAACCTTTTGTAGTTTGCATAAAAGCAGGGAACCGTCCAAGTTAAATTTTGAAATTATCCAATTACATTGTTCAGGCAAGAAATGATTGACAAAGATGGATGGCTTCACACCGGAGATATTGGAGCGTGGCTACCTGGGGGGCGCTTAAAGATAATTGATAGGTAAGAGGATAGCTAATAGTACTTGCCTTTCATAGAGGGATTATGAAGTAGTAGTAGTTTTTCTTCCTTTTTGTTGCAATCTTGTGTATGTTCGTTGAATATGGAGCATTAAATGAGATTGCTTCCTTGTAACTATAATCCATTTTACTGAAGTTGCACGGTATACGGAGATCATTGGCTACTTGTAGAAAGTTTTATCTTTTGCTATTTGTTTGCAGGAAGAAGAATATTTTCAAGTTGGCACAGGGAGAATATGTAGCTCCAGAAAAAATTGAGAATGTTTATGCAAATAGCAAGTATGTTGCACAGTGCTTTATACATGGTAAGATATGGTGTCACAGAAAATCCTTCTCCCCACACCCACCCCTCCCTCATGTACGACGCCTTTAAAAGACCTACTGTACTGTTGTCTTCTTTGTCAGGTGACAGCCTGAATTCCTCTCTGGTAGCCATAGTCTGTGTGGACCCAGACATGTTGAAAACATGGGCTATAAATGAAGGCATCAAGGTGACACCCTGAATTCTTCTTACATCTTCAACCTGCTCTCATGAAAAAATGCAAGGATTTTACGCTATTTGGTTATGTTGTATCAGTTGTCATAAAGGGAAAGAGATGATAAATATCAGAACAATATTCATCATAACATAAGGTGGCTGAAAAATATAAGGGATCCAAAATATCATTTTCCTTATGATCATAATTGCATCCCTTTTATTTTGGCTCTAGTTTCTTTTCTTTCCGCAATCGTACATGACATTTGAAATGTAACAAATATGCTTTCACTTGTGTAGCATAGGCAGTCAGGACATAATCTCGAATCTGAAAATTCAATGTATTATCTTTCCTTATGAAATGTTCCTATGGTCATAAAGAGTACCAAACTTCATTTATGAAAATTGTGAAGTTCTCATTAGATTTATATGAAGCATTGTAGAGTAAGAAGCAGAGAGATAGCTTTTCTTTCAAAATGTGAAGAGAATTATAAGTATTAGTTAGTATTGTACGTGATTATATTTATCTTGGCGAGAGCAGAATAAAGACGTGAAACAGCTCTGCACTGATCCAAGAGCGAAAGCTGCAATATTGGAAGACATGGATACTGTTGGAAAGGAAGCACAGGTAATTTGAATTCCCCTGCAATGACCTTCTGTTTTCAACATGTTTCTCATGGCAAACACTTTGCAGTTGAGAGGTTTCGAATTTGCTAAAGCTATCACTTTGGTGTTTGAGCCTTTTACAATGGAGAATGATCTGCTTACTCCGACTTACAAGGTAAGTGTTGTTCCGCGATTATTAGACAACTAGAGAAAGTCTCCATTGTTCAAATCCTTTTCTTGTCCTTGTTTCAGATAAAAAGGCCACAAGCAAGAATATACTTTGCTAAAGAAATAGCAAACATGTATGCAGAACTCTCAGAATCCAATTCCTCTCCAAATAAAATCTTGTGAAAGGCAAAAATAGTATATTGTGGTCTTATGCTGTTGAAATATTGTCCATCCATCTCACAATGAACTTATATATTTAAGTAGTTAATATTGACAATGTGTAAAACATATTCTTCTGTAGAACCAAAAATACATTTTGAAAAGCTTTCAATTATATTTATTTTGTTCGAGCTGAAAACAATAGATTTTATCGTTCGTACCAATTTGTGTACACCCCACCCTCAGCATGCCATCCATTATGTTGTTCTCCTTTTACTATCTTTACTGTTATTAATAATTTGCAGAAGATCTTCCTACATATAACACCCTGTATGTATGGTTGTTATCCAATATTTCATAACATAGTGTTGAACTGTATTATGCTCAGCTATTTGCGAATATAATGTTTGAATAGATTATATTGTTTGATGTGAATTAGTAACATATTTAATTTTGGTTTATATTTGTAGAATAAATTTACTAAAATCCTTTAACTATTCTAAATATTGAATTTTATGGACAACTAGAAGCAACAAGCAAATTCATTTATCATACTCTTAACAAAAATATTACTCCCTCCGTCCCATTTTATATGATGTACTTTGATTTGGCACAAACTTTAAGAAAAATGGAAAGACTTTTAAAACTTGTGGTCCAAAATGAATGATAGAAATTTGTGTGGTTGTAAATCATTTCATTAAGGGTAAAAAAGACATTTTATAGGCAAATTGTTACTTAAAATAGAAATGTGTCATTCTTTTTGGGACTGACTAAAAAGGAAAGTAAGTCATATAAATTGGGACAGAGGGAGTATGTATTTTTACTGATCTGTTATATTTTCAAGTCTCTTATTTCCCATGTATAGCAGCAATGTAAAATTTTAGAAAGAAAAATGAAAGCAATTTTTTTTACCATGTGATACTGCTAAATTCTGTTATAACATAAAAATACAAAAAATTCCTTTTTTAAGCCCATTGATTCTTTTATATACACAAAGAAAAAAAAAAATCCTTCCGTTTTTTCAGATAATGCAGAAGAAAGACTGTGTTATAGAGGTGTGAGGAAGACGTCATGGGAAAAGTGCACGGCAGAGATTAGAGATCCCAATCAGAGGATAAGCCGTTAGCTTGGAACTTTCAAAACACCGGAGAAAGCTGCAAGGGCTTATGATGCGGCGACAAGGTTGTTTCTAGGCTAGAAGGCGTCACTAATTTTTCTGAGGATAACCCTCCAAAACACAAAAGATTATCTCAAGTTTGGGAGGATAGGATTGGAATAGTTATTATTATCCAATCCTTTTTGAGTGGTGTTTTGGAGGTTATCCTCTGGAAATTAGTGACGGTCAAACAACCTCGTCGCAACATCGTAAGCCTTAACAGCTTTATCCGGCATATTGAAAGTCCCAAGCCAGGGATTTCTCCTCTGGCTGGAATCTCTGATCTCAACCGCGTACTTTTCCCATAACGTCTTCCTCACACCCCTATAATGTACCTCATGTCGAGTTTCTTTTGCATCTTATGAAAAGGAAATAATTTTTTTTAATATATTTTTTTTATATAGAAGAATAAGTGAGTAAAAACAGAAGGAGAAGAGTGGTTTATATAGCTGTCTCTCAAGGGAAATTTATGTGGTCCATTTAATTACAATTCTTTTAAATCCGAAAAATGACTTACATTTCAACTTCAACATTTATTAGATTAGATATACGTATTAAAGAAATATTTTTTTATTTATGTTAAAAAATCTGAATAATAATGTAAAATAGATAATATAAGATTTATTTATTAATGTTACAGAATCTGGATAATAATGTATTATAGATATTATAAGATATTTTTATTTATGTAACATAATCTGAACAATAATGTATATAGATAATATAGCTCACTAGTAAATTCAGGGGATAAAAAGTTAAAACATGATATTTGAGGGGTGGGGGGGGGG